CAACTTACAACAAAAATGGCTTGGTATATTGCAGCTAAACCTTTTGTGGAATACTAAATAAGGAACTGCGAAGGTTGTAGAGATATTGAAAAGTAGATTTGTTTCTTCTATATTTTACATAAGCTAAAAACGTCATAATTCTAGTGTAAACAATGTTATCATTACCCCTTGAAGTTAGCTTTCTTACACATATCTGGTGTTCTTTTAAAAGGCTTAAGTACAGGGTGAAACCGAAATTACCTGTGAATAATAGATTAACATTAGATACTCAATGTTTTGTACACTATACAATCGGTATTTTAAGAGAGCCAACCCCTGTGTTATGTATAAAGTGAAGGAGTAAAAATAAATAAATACACATGATATTACATTTTATTACACACACACTAGCAGAGACCCGCAAAACATTTCCGTCCAAATTAGTATATTTATCGTAATAGTACTTCTTTAAATATAACATTTCTAGCACAATACAAACGAATAAAATTTAGCATCAACATTATTCAAGCCTGTTCTTCTCCCGCCCGTTTCTAAAGCTGCGCACGCAGGCAAAGCTCAACATTCACTTTTGAAATGATTGACAGACACCACGGTTTGCAATATATATAAGATCATTTTACTTTACAAGTTAACGTCTCCATGTTGGCTCTCATGGTCTCGGGTCAGGTCCAGCGACCTAGACCTCGAAAATAGTGCCAAACGTCTTCTTTTTGTCTAATCAAAACAACACAAATCTCTCGGGAATGGTTCTTATGTTATATCCACTTCAAGATGCCGGGCCGATTCGTGTGGCTGCTGTAAAATACTAAGCTATAACGTTATAGTCCGAAAAACGATCCAATGGCTCCATACCTTTGAAGAACGGTTAGCTTTTCTTCACGAGCAAATGAGAGACCACATTACGAAAGGATTCAGCTATTTTTAACATTTATAATAACCTCGTAACGATCCACGTTATTATTTTATAATCAAAATCACAGTCCAAAACGTTCATCGTATCCTTCCGAATAAAGTTGTTTACCGTGTTTGAAAGTTCGTTAAACTTGTGGCTGTCCACAATTCAATGTAAGTAAATGAAATAAAAGACAAAAAAAAAAATTCATAGGGTCAAAGGTTATGATGATTTGGTTGCTTCTAGTAGTTGCCCGAAACCGAAGTCTTTTAAATCAATTTTAGTTTAGCACAAAATTAACCATTTCTTAGCTTTTTTGTTTTAATGTTAATTTTCCCAGATAGATTCTTGTGTGGATGAGCAAAGAAAAATGTGACACCGCAAAACAAAAATAACAAATAGTCTCAATTCACGTTAAGCTTAATTGCATCCCGACATTAAGTTATTATTAAGTTGTCCCAATTCACGATAGGCCTAAATACGCTCCGACATCAAATTCTCCTATTTAACGTTAGGCCAAACTGCTCCGAAATGCGGTATCCAATTTTAGTGGTTAATCGATACAGTAAGGTTTTCAACATACAGTCTGGTTGTTTTTCTTTTAACACGCAGAAAAGAGTTATAATATAAAACACTGCGCAAATACTCATGACACAGTTCACATAGTAAATGCCCCCCGGTGGCACAGCGGCATGTCTGCAGACTTACAACGCTAGAATCCGGGTTTCGATACCCGTGGTGGGCAGACCACAGATAGCTCATTGTGTAGCATTGTGCTTAATTACAAACAAACACATAGTAAAAAATACCATTATAAAAGTTTCCCAGCTTACCAAAGAGACGATCCTCAACATACAAGCGCAATAATCAAACGCTAAAGGAAGTGAAATAAAGAAGGTGGCCAACGATTGTTGTAGAATTATTATATGGACACACGAAATATAATTGTAACTTCCCCAAAATAAAATTATGTACGCGCGCACGCACACATCTTACATCTAACCTCTACACAAATCTTCATTACCCGTTACTATTTGTATTTTGAACACTATTTATAGAATCAATCTGAGTATACTAGAACTTCCCAAAACTAAAACTTTTTAAAATGTTCGTTCGAGGAGTACCAAACAAAGCATATCCGTCGAATTACATAATAAAGGGAATAAGGAAGCCTTACAAAAGGAAATTCATCTAGAAAACTACATAGTTATTCTATATAAGAACATTAATCCCTGCAGAAATATAGAGTAGATAAAGTTAAGTAGTTATAAAGAAGACAACATTACCTGGTATAGAAAACTACATAAACTACATAGTTATTCTATATAAGAACATTAATCCCTGCAGAAATATAGAGAAGATAAAGTTATGAGTTGGAAAGAAGACAACATTACCTGGTAGTTGTGACACTGTTTATATACAAAAAAGGCCTATAACATAGTGGCTGTATCACTGTATGAAGGGGACAGTGATACTGTCTTCATGGATATAGCAAATACAACAATAACCAGGTAGTAGAAAACTTATATCAATCAAAACAACATTAAAATAACAAAAACAAATGGTACAACTAAAAACGACAAAAAAACAGAAATGAACTGGTACAAATTGACTGGAACGAACTGATACAAATGAAAACAACGGACAATAACTAAAACTGAAAAAAATGTATACAAAATAAAAGAAAAAACACGGGTATAAATCAAAACGACAGAAATGAACTGGTACAAATAAAAACGGATAAAAATAGGAACAAAAAAATGTATACAAAAGAAAAGAAAAACACGGGTATAAATCAAAACGACTGAAATGAACTGGTACAAATAAAACGGATAACAATAGAAACAAAAAAATGTATATAACCCTAAAAGAAGAGAAAAACAACGGGTATATACTAAAAGAGAAAACTAATATAAATGAGAACGACAGAAAACAGTTGTTTTCTGTCATACTGACTCGCGTCAGTTGTTTTCTGTCTTACTGGCTTAAGTCAGTTGTTTTCTGTCGCATTAGCTTATATCAGCTGGTTTTAGTTGTATTCGTTTACATCAGTTGTTTTCTGTCATATTGACATAAATCATCCCCCTACTATCGTATTGACTTGCATCAGCTGTTTGGTTGTATTGGTTTACATCAGTTATTTTCTGTCGTATTGGCTCACGTCAGTTGTTTTCAGGCGTTTTGGTATACATCAGTTATTTTCTGTCGTATTGGCTTACGTCAGTTGTTTTCAGGCGTTTTGGTATACATCAGTTATTTTCTGTCGTATTGGTATACATCAGTTATTTTCTGTCGTATTGGCTCACGTCAGTTGTTTTCAGGCGTTTTGGTATACATCAGTTACTGGCTTGCGTCAGTTGTTTTCTATCACACTGGCTTGCGTCAGTTGTTTTCTGTCATACTGGCTTGCATCAGTTCTTTCTGTCATACTGGCTTGCATCAGTTCTTTTCTGTCGTACTGATTCGCGTCAGTTGTTTTCTGTCATACTGACTCGCGTCAGTTGTTTTCTATCATACTGGCTTGGGTCATGATAGAAAACTGACGCAAGCCAGTATGATAGAAAACAATTGATGCAGCCAGTATGATAGAAAACAACTGATGCAAGCCAGTACGACAGAAAACAACTGACGCAAGCCAGTACGACAGAAAACAACTGACGCAAGCCAGTACGACAGAAAACAACTGACGCAAGCCAGTACGACAGAAAACAACTGACGCAAGCCAGTACGACAGAAAACAACTGATGCAAGCTAGTACAACAGAAAACAACTGATGCATGCCAGTATGACAGAAAACAACTGATGCAAGCCAGTACGACAGAAAAGAACTGACGCAAGCCAGTACGACAGAAAAGAACTGACGCAAGCCAGTACGACAGAAAACAACTGATGCATGCCAGTACGACAGAAAACAATTGACGCAAGCCAGTACGACAGAAAACAATTGACGCAAGCCAGTACGACAGAAAACAACGGATGCAAGCCAGTACGACAGATAAGAGCTTGTAAAAACTAAAACAGAAAACAACTTTAAGTTGGCGATGAAAGTATCCCCGAGGATACTTTCATTGTATTAACCTTCCTCACTACCAAATCATTGTACATAAAGCTTAATGCAAACAGAAAATATGGCTAATTAGCACTATCTGAAACCACCCTATATAATATTGTATGTCAGGGGAAATAAAAGAAAGTGTCAGGGGAGTCATAGCAAATACACAATACCGTGAAGGTACTTCTTATCTATACATTCACTTGGTGAGTGGGGGTACCTCGATCAGAATGTTCTGATGGGCCTTGGACCGAGAAAGTTTGGAAACACGTAGTATGAGAACAGCCCAACAAATGACGATTCAGCGGAAAATGCAAACTGGGGAACTGAGACTAGCTCTCTTACTTGGGGTTCGTCTTTCCTTGATCGGTAATACAGATATATTATTGAATTAATAAACAGATAGAATTATATTATACGGCAAAATAATTGAGTGCTGTGCAATATTTTCCAACCAAGTTTACTGTATTTGTACGTAATACATATCCATGTAGTTCAAAGAGGACATCAATTGATGCTGGCTTTACATCTTTCAAATGATCTATCTCTAAAACTGAAAAAGAATGATATTTATAAAATGTACATCATGCAACAAATCCAGAAGTAGTCTCAGGTTAATCTTATAAATACCCCAACCGGCAATATCTGCAGATGTAAGATTTGCACTGTTGGGCAATCCGGCAATATTACAGTTGATTCTGCAAGTAACTGCTTACCTTAATCAGTACTTCACTTGCGGAAAATATACACAGATATAAAAGTGCACTTTGGGAAATCGAGAAACAACCACAAACTGGCTCTACTGTAACCATTAACTGAAAGTTCAGGAGACCAATAATAGGAAACACACGTTGGATCAGACAGGATAAACATCTGACAGCAAAAAATAAAATAAATTAATCAATTAAAATAAAACGTGAACATTTGATAAATAAAGGTATCGGTCTGAATTATATGGTGAAAATGAAGAATAAGGGCAAGTCTACTTGATTCAATGGAGAAAAATACAAAACTACCCAGTATATACAAGTTCAGTAGCTAGAGTGGACATCTTACCTTACAACACTTCGAAGTGTCTTCCCACGACCCCTTTTTCTTCTTCTATTGTTTCTCCGCCTGCGTTTTCGAGGTTGTTGTTGCAAAAATGCTTGAAAATTTCCTTTCCATAACTTCTCTAAGATGAAGTTACCCGTGATAGGGTGGGGTGGAGGTGTGGGTCGGGGTCTCTGGCGACGGCTCCTAGGCGTGAAAGGAAGACCAGTTCTAACGACAAGACGACGAGTCGCCTCTATCCACATCGCGTAATGTAAACTATCCCGATTCATTGTGCTTCTTGATTGTGCACAGAGAAAATTCAGATCTATAAGTCTCAAGTTCAGAAGGATCAAGTTAGATTCGAAATGCTGGACCACGAGTAGACCCGGTATAATTTATACTGGTACACTATTCACGTGGAGCCGCTGACGGCTGTACCGAGAGGTTCAGCTGAACAGGCTAGGAGTATCCGGAGCTCTTACCGACATCTTTTATTACAGACTAACAGCTAGGACAATACACATATAACAAAACAGATGTAGTAACTCTACCTGGAAGACGAAATTTTGAGCAGAATCATAAAACTGAGCAGCAGCAGAGTTGTTGAACACAACCAGTAGCTACAAACTCAGTGACTGTTCAACAGAGAAATGAAACATTGTTTCTGTTTCTCTGTCGCTAACGTTAACTTTACTAATAGAGTAATAACTTTTTTTTAAATCATCAATTTAAGACCGAGTTCCAAATTATATCCACACCTGCGCACTGGAAGACCTTGCACTAGCTTAAAGGCACAGCTGGACACTTGACCACAGAGAAGCTTGTAAGGCCGTTAATTGGAAGACTTGGGTTAATGGAAGACTAACTTTTGTTCTTACAGCATTTTGTTGTTTCTATTACACGACATTTACAACTGGTGTTCCAAGCTGTTCCAGCGTTTCAATGAATATTTCCTATCTTAGCAGTTCTTGTTACACAGGACTGAAGTGTTACACTTTGATCGCGGAATAAAGACCTCTACCATCCCGATAAACATGTATTTCACCTGTAATGATACAGGGTTTCACATCGGTCGTACTTACTGACGTCAGACCACTCTTTAACAACTACAGAATGACGTATTTATTACCTATCATGCGTTGTATATTTAAGGTAGTTCCCTTATTGTTTTTAAATCAGTAGTTTTTGTATCACATAGAAAATAAAAGTATACTTTACAAGGTGAGGATCGGTAGTTTGTATAACCACGCTTCACACTATCACAACTGACTCAAAAACCACAAGAGGGTTGGAAGACATCATGATCTGACTTAAAGAGAGAGAAAACGGTTTTTACTCGGATCTAGTTCTTCCCAGGTGAGTGTATACACAGTCAGTCTAGTTTGTCATGTTTTGAGCTCTACTTAATCATTTTGATGACTGAGCTATAAATCGCCCTACCTGACGGAAGCCTTTCAAGAATCTGAAGGGTCGACATGATATGACAAATCAAAGTCGTAGAGGGTTGAGGCTTTCTTCCTGAGATGCACTGTGTACAGACAAATTTAGCATAAGCATATCGTAGAAAACGGATACCTGCTTCCGTCTAGGACCAGACCTCGAAGAAAATGGCTACCTGTTTCTGGTCAAGACTAAATTTAACCTCTGTTTATGACTCTGATGGTGCATTCCAGACAATAAACTTCAGCCAATTACTTCTTCTTTTCTTTTTTAACTTGCGAACATATTGGTGGTATTTCACATGAATGTATAGGCTACAACGTACTGGTAGCCATGAAACATAAAGGTGAGGCCATGTTGTCAAGTGATGCCCAGCCTGTACGAGGTACTTCCACCCAGCATCTTTAACGTCCCCTGTAACTATGACGATGGGTGTTGATCCTGCTCGCGCTCGCTGCAGCAGAGAGCCACGCCCTCAGCGGCAATGATTGGATCAACGCGTCGGCTAATAGCAATTGGACCAACCACCAATAAGTTCTAGTTTTACAGCACAGCTCTAATGGGTTGGGTGGGGGATGGGGGACACACACGTCATTTTTTATTATTATTATTTCTCGTATCATATCCAAAAATCCAAAACTACACATACGCATCAGGTAGAAATACACTTGTAAATCAACTGAACTCATAAGCTTATTTCACTATGTATTTCAACCTCAACGAGAAGTAAAATAATCATTAAGTGACTGCGCTAAACAAGCTGTAAAATTTTCACGACGAAATGATACTTCCAATTTAAGGATACAATTTTAACGACTGCAAGACGTTTTTACGAAGTTCAAGTCTACTTCGTAGCCTTAAGTTTCTACAGTATGTAGTTACTTTTCCAAATTCAGCTACACCAACCAACAAAAAACGGGCGAATTAGGCTAAATATCAAGAACTATATAATTAACGTATCTTGAATACTGTCTTTCCATACCCTGACTTTACGAACAGGACCTCTATTTGTATTGAATGTCTTCAAGAATATAATATCCTATAGTTCTGATATAAATGCCTTCAATATGTGAGGTTGGCCTTTATTTATAAAAGAAACATAATTCAATCTACAAGCATAACCTACATTCATTAAGCACCCCTAGTCCACTGTGTTAACGTAAAGTTATAAATTTCTCTACCTAAAACCTATATTAACACGATTTTAAATAAGTAACTCAACAACTCACGTCACAACCACAGCCGATATAATGTCATGGTGGTACAGTACGTATTTCAGCTACATTTTGACATTATATGCCGTTGCGTAGGTAGTATGATGCCACCGAAAATTTATCGTTTTGAGAGAATATTCATACGTTAAGATAATAGGAATTTAGAATTTTCAAGCCAGTGATAAACTTTGTCATTTGAAAACATGGAAATACAGATCAACTTAGGGCGTCATGACCATCCAGAAATATACCTGTAAAACGTTTTCTGCAACCATGATAAGCAAAATGTAGCGTCTTCTAACATATGAGAATACACAAAGATCAGTGACAAAATGAGCCCATGCAACATAATTAACCCTTTCAGTGATTGATTTGCCCAAGATAACTCGGGCGCCCTCCATGTTTCAATTAATATATGCCCCGAGATAATTCAGGCAAACTATTTCTCGCCGTATTTTTCATTATTTGCCAAAATTTATTCGCATTTTACCATATTACAATCAGTGCTTGCTAGGATGGTAGGGGAAATGTCTGGTCTCATCTCTTTCAGATTTATTCTGAATTATGTATCATAAACAACATACAAAAGTATTCCCATTCTTTACTGTAGTTTTGTTTGTTTG